AACCACCACGAAGATGTTATTGCGAAGGCACGACGGCAGCTTGGTTTCATTGGAAAGGTGAAAAAGGAGTTTCAAGATCCTTACACATTGAAATCGCTGTATGTTAGTCTTGTTCGTCAAATTCTCGAGACAGGCTGTATTATATGGGATCCGTTTCATATCACCGTGATCGATCGCATAGAGGCCGTTCAGCGCAAATTTGTGCGATACGCTCTTCGCAACTTACCGTGGAATGACCCGGTTAATCTGCCACCCTACGAGAATAGATGCCAACTACTGGGATTGGAAACGCTGGAACAAAGGAGGAAGAACGCGAAAGCTGTATTTGTAGCGAAACTACTGAACGCCGAACTTGATGCACCGAATCTTCTTGCTCTCATCGACATTAACATTCCCGGCTATGCACTCAGGAATACCGAATTTCTCCGCTTACCACGCTGGCGACAGGACTACGACGGTAACGAGTCAGTACGTGCAGTCATGCGCAATTTCAACGATGTTTATAATTTGTTCGACTTCAATGAAAACTCTGTTCAATTTCGCTCAAGGCTAAGAAGAATGAATTGATGTTGATGCTAAGAATTATTCATTAAGACAACAAATTGTCGGATGAAGATATCAAAGTAATAAAATAAAAAAAATAAAAATAAAAAATAAAAATGTCATCTGTCAAACTTTCATAGCGAATCAAAACAAACATAGTGTTGTACTAGAATTTTGACTAGGATGGGAAACGTTAATCGATTTGCTTGGGTCAAGCAAGAGTCAAGTAGTGAGCCAATTTAAAATCGTTCGTTTTCACCCGTTGCTAAAACTGCATCCGGGGTGGGTGTTTTCGAATAAAAATATGGAATAGGATGGAAACACATTGTCCGTTTCATTCAAGAGGTACAAAAGTAACCCGCTTTTCATTTCATGTAACGAATTGCTATAAAATTTGTTTCAAAATTTCGATTTTTTAAGGTAAATTCGAGTCGTGATGAATAATAATAAGCTATTCATAGACAATATAGGATGTGTTAGAATTATCGAGCATTATGCTGATGTTGTTTTTAGTGTGTTTTGTGATATGAGCTGTCACTTTCTTGGTGCTTTTGTGATTGTTGCCTGTTCAAACTCTGGAAGCAACGATATTTTCCCGGAGATTTGGCTAGAGAATTTATGGCCAAACGTGACCAAACCCAAGACCAAACTATAGGTGCCATCGATGCTGATTAGACTGATGCAAAATTTGAAATTTTCGCTCCACAGTGCTCAAACGGTTTCAAATCAGGTCCTGATTATCCTCTTAAAATATAAACTCATTTGGTAAGAAACTGACTTGGCACAAACTATTCGAAGTTTATATGGAAATTACTATGGGATAACCAAACTTTTTGTTCATTGTCTTCTACCCATTTTCCATATTGATTTTTCTAAAATTTCTATAACTATTCTTAAGGGAAATTTTCTAAGCTACAACTTTGTCCAATTTCGTTTTTCAGCCAAGTGTCAAATTAAATTGTTATCAATTGTTTAAGAGATTGATAATCTTATGGCATGATCAAGCAGCTGTTCTGTTGGCAACACTGTATTCTGCAGTGTGACATAGTAGCCATTATATTTGTGCTCTATTCTTTGCACCAGAAACACCAATGTTGCCTGCTGAGCAGTTGAATGAGCATAATCAAAAGACATCAGTGACTTGAATCATTAATAGTAATTCCCACATAAACTTGAAATGGTTTGTGCTAAGCCAGTTTCTTATTAAATTAGTTCCAATTTTGGGAGGCTAAGCAAGACTCAATTTAGAACCATTTGAGCACTGTGGAGCGAAAATTTAAAATTTTGCATCAGTCTAATGCTGATCTTCACCGGATGCCTGAAATTGTGGAAGTCTATTGAGGTAGTGATGATGCGTTCGTATGCGTATATGCGTTTCCGCACTTCCTACACCTCAACATTTCAAGAGCACAGCTGCCACAAAATATACAACAATGAAACTGGAACTTCACATTTGATGTAGCAAACAGGGAGCTCCAATTTTATGACTTATGTCACAACTGTGTCCAAAATGTGTGCTCTAGAGCACTTGAAGTGATATGGTATCTCAGCCATCATCAGGCAATTTATGGACTCTTCAAGGAATCTTAGATTTATCAACCAACAATACTATATGTTGTATCAGTAAACTTGTAATGACCTTATCATGCAAACTGAAGCACGCCTACGCCAACCAATTCCACCGTCGAATAGGAGAGAATTTTTCCTAGCCGAGGGTGTTATGGATTTGGCAAGGCGAGCTTTGATTTGCGAGAAAATAGCATTACAAGATTTGGTTACAAAAGCTGATCCACCTTTTTGAATTGTTGGTTGAGATTTCACAACGTTCCCTTCGTATAAACAAATATAAATCAATAAATCAAACTTTAGAGTAGTTTTTGGCAAAATTTGAATAAATCTGGGACTTCCGTCCCCCTCGGTTTCATTCACCTTTTCGTGTCAGTGACTATAGACAGTCAAGTTATAGACCGGCCAACGTGAGTTGACGTATCCAAACAAACCGTCAAATCGTATGAAAACGATTTGAATGCATCGCACGAGTAATTCGATTAAAGATGTAAAGCAAATAAATTTTGAAATTTACCCTACAAAAGTCTGTATCTGTGAAAAAACTTAAAAGTCTGTAAATGTCTGTAACGAAAAAAAAATGTCTGTGAAAAAAATAAAAGTCTGTAAATTCACAGACATGTCTGTAAATCTGGCATCTCTGGTATAGATCTAACAATGTCTAAAGATGTTACAGTAAAGAGCACACTAACTGCTAGACTTTCATCTCGTTAAGTTTTAAACAATTTTTATTTCTTAGATATTTGTATATTGTCTGGCGTTGATAGCATTGGTACTCAGTACGGAAAACAGATCAAGGAAAATCATCGATGTTTGAGGCTGGATTGGTCGCGAATACGGATGCAAAATGCTTGCACGTGGATTTCTTCTCAGACCCATTTGTACACACAATTCGTAAGGCTTATAGTTGCCAGGCGTTCGTTAACATCGTAGTTTCCGCTGACAAGCATTGCGAGTGCGTTTTAAATTCCGTAAACGGAGAGTACTCCAGGTGGGCGAAACTGATGGCCGAATTCGTGGAACATTCGAAACAAGCCAATCGTTCAAAACTTAACAAAAAATTTTCACCATTTCATAGACCTCGATGATAGTAGAAATCACCATCCAATCAATGTGTAGGTCTGAAAGGGCCGAAAAATTAATCATTCGAAAGCTTAGAGGTCGCTCATGTCATGTTTAATCGGTTCGTCACACACCACAAGCACGGGTAGAGGGATCTCAAACGGGGGGTGGTGAGAGTCAACGGGTAGCAACGGAGCTGAGCAGCTATTCACATTAGCCTCACATTGAACTGTTATGGGATTATGAGTAGTATACCTCTATTTTAGAAAAAAATTCAACTACTCAAATAAAGCACTCAAAAAATGAAGAAACATTTTAGAAGACATCAAAATGCAACACTCAATAGTGTCGTCGCAAATGGCCATGTCCTACATTTTTTGAATTCATCCCACTACTGTGGCATTGGTATTCATTACAGAAAACAAGTTCGACGTAAAACATATCAAGGAAAAAAAGCACCCTATTTCCAAATTCCCACATTTTATTAGCTTCAACACAAAAATGGAACGTTTGGCGCTAGAAGGTTGACGAACGTTGACGAACCAAATTTACGAAAATACTTTGGGAATCCCCATTCATAGACGAGAAACGCTAAAAGCTAGCTTCAAAACCTGTTAGCCTCCGGTTTCTTCTTCATCTCATCCTTCCTTTGCAATCGCCGTTCCATTGAAACATTTTTATTTCTTAGATAAGTATATTGACAATCGATGCAGACTACCATTGATTGTCAATTTCAAATATACGTATGCAAATGCCTTCGACAAAGTTGTTCAGGAAGTCATGACCTTTTGGGTGGTGACAATAACTCAAAGTTTTCTCACTACGCGACGCTAGTATGCATGTGAAATTCTCGAACATAAAATATCTCTAGATCCTGACCAGATAGAAAGTAAAAATGTCTTCGGCAAAGTTGTTCAAGAAGTCAAGATCTTTTCGTTGGTGAACAGTAACTCAGAATTACCTCACTTCGCGGCACTACCCAATTTCTAGTTCGAGAAACGCTTCGCTGAATAATAACAGTAAAATTTGCTAATCACAACTTCTGTAAAACCCTTGTTTACACTGAAGAATCTGTTCAACTACAGCATTATATGTATACGGTGGCAATGGGCGATCTTGGATCGAAACACAAAGTATCGATTCTTTTGGTTCTATTAATCGATCTCAAACACGACAACAATCGACTGGATCGATCCTGTTCTATTCGATCTTTGTTTTGAACCAAAAACAAATTTCAGTGCATTTGCATTTGCAATTTAATATTGACCTGTACCTGGAGTCTTAAAGTTAGTCTATGGTAGCACTCCGTATGTCTGTTGGTAGTACACACTCAGCGGCCGCATCTACCGAAGTGCGAGGGCTCAAAAGGACCGAAATGATCGATCATATACCACACATTCGTAACTTTAACGGTCGTAACTTTTGAATTAGAGCTAATCCGGAGGATAATAGCTATGCCTGAGTATGCCTTGAATGGATGCAATCCTCCAAATCGAAGCATTCCTTGACCGGTGGCTACGATTTTTTAAGGTGAAACTTTAATGGCACAAATGTCAGCTTCCACAAAACATACAAATTTGAAATTGCTACTCCTTGTTTGCTGTGCTACTACAAACAGAGAGTAGCAATTTCAAATTTGTATGTTTTGTGGAAGCTGAAATTTGTGCCTTTGAATTTTCACGCTAAGGCTTCCTTAGAGTATCACCTTAAAGAAATATAATAACTGAGTTAAGTTTGGTAAGTTTTTTTTTGGAAACCTGGCTTTCGATCAAATCCCAATCAAATTTTAAAATCCTCATTTGTGTGTGTTATTAAACCTTGTTTAACTCAATAATGTGCTGTACATGTTAAATTGTATTTCGTGTCAACATCAGAATTAGCTTAAAACTTAATGTCAGAAAATATAACCTTGGTCCTACTACATATTTCGGCTGCATGTGCCCATTAAATACTACAGAATCAATACTTAGTACTCTTAGTGGTCCTACCGTTTACAAACTAATCAAACTCGAATAAGCGTACCGTTAAAACTGGTAAACATCAACAAACTCGCAGTCATTGCGCTTAAATCAAAACAATACTAAATAAATATGCAGTCGACTTTTTCCCACCATCATCCTACGTTACCCACCCTATCACAGCCTTTCGCTCCAGCGTCTTCATCTCGCGTTCCATCTCCAGTGCGTGCAAATCAATTGAGCCCGAGTAGCTCCAGCACTCCCGGATGATGGTCCACTTTTTGCGTCCACCCACAAACAGCACCCCGATGAGCATTCCCTGGAAGGTGACGGCATAGGCTGCCCCGATGCGGAAGACGTCGTACTGACTGTCCAGGTTTTGCTGCATTGAGCTGAGCAGGATCCAGCAGATGAACGTGAAGATGGCTTCCACTGTGCAGAGGCGGTTTCTGGAGAAAAATAAAGGATATTCGTTAGTGGATGCGGTGGGGGTGTGGGAAATCTTTGGCAGTTACTCACATAGACCTAACGTCCTTCAGTCGTTCCCCGTCTATGCGAGGTTGAGCGTTGACTGCTTCCGTGTAGGTCAACTCGTGGTAGTTTTGCTGCGAAACGGCAAACCTGATGAATTTACTGTTTGCCAGAGCTCGTATGGCACGGTGGCTAAGATACAGGACTACGGCTATGGCCAAGTAGTATATGTATAGCACGAGATGGAAGATGAGAGAATCTAAAACAGAGTTATTGATTAGTCGATGATCTTTCATTGATGAAGAAAGCACGGATTTACTTCTCCACGGCAGGAACATAGGAATAATGGTTATCGTGTAAAGTACAGCTATGAACAAGAACACATCCCGTTTGTTTTTGGGATCGAACTCCAATCCATTTGGAAGGTAGTACGCAGCGTAGACATAGTTGTGGACGTTCATCATCAGGAAGGCATAAACTGATGACATCAGGAATACGTGACCGAAAATCTGGAGCACATCTGAAATATGTAATACAGCAAATAAAATTCTGAGCGATAAACATCTTCGTTTGAATGGCAATCTCACCAGCATCACCTCGCAGAACGCAACGGTCACCGCAAACAGCCAGTGAGGTCAAGATCATCCCCACCAGGAACGAACCCGCGTGCACGACCAGCACATATCCGAAAAGGTCATTCAACTTCGGAACGAACGCATATGCCACACAAGTCAGCACCAGTCCAATCGCAGCGATCGCCATTCCAACGTAAATCAACACCGCCGTGGACTTGAGCACGATCGGTTCCACTTCGTCGCAAGCCTTGGCCAACAGTCTCCCGCTGACGTCGACCTCAACGCAGTAGTGATCGAACACCGCCATGAACTGCCCGTCCGCTATCACCAGTAGCGATCCGTTCTGGATGACAAACATCTCATCGCCCTGGTCCTTGCTGTACTGGAACGTCAAATTGTTCGCAAAACAGGCGTTACTCGGTTCGTAGCTGAAGTGCAGCTTGTTGTCCTTGTCTTCGATGCATTCCGCGTCACCGTAGAATACGGCGTAGACGGTATCGATGTCCAGCTTGTGCTCCCCGGGAGTGCACCGGAGCCGACCGGCACTGACTTGTTCGAATATCTCACCGAACGGGCAGCACTTTTTGATGTGGGAGTCCTTGTCGTAGACGGGTTGCTGCTGGGAGATCTGTGGGGGGGGTGAGTGCAGAATTTAGGAATTAGGTCATTGAGTTATCTGCAAGCATCTGTGAAAAATGCATCCCTTCATTGTATCGGAATTTACCCATGATTTTGACACATCTGCTTAATCTCATAAGCGCAGTTTGAAAGTGAACATTAGACTGATGCAAAATTTGAAATTTTCGCTCCACAATACTAAAACGATTCCAAATCGGATCCTGACTAACCTTTCAAAATTTGAACCCATTTGGTGAGAAACTGAGATGGCACAAACCATTTGAAGTTTGTATGGGAATTACATGGTAAAACCAAGATTTTTGTTCATGTCTATTTTATAATTCACCTTATCGGTCTGCTTCAAAACTGTACTTGTAGGAAATTTTCCCAGCTACAACTTTGCTCAAGATCACTTTTTGATTAAATGCAAGGATCGAAAGTTATCAATGGTTCAATGCGCTGATGTCTTATGATCATGCTCAATCAACTGCTCAGCAGGCAACATTTTGGTGTTTCTGGGGCGTTGAATAGGACACAAAAATCATGGCTACTATGTCACACTGCAAAATACAGTGTTGCCTACAGAGCAGCTGCTTGATCATGTCATAAGTTTACCAATCTCTTAAATAATTAATCACTTTTTCCTGTCTCGTTTTACATAGAAACGATCTTGAGCAAAGTTGTAGCTTCTATAAGAATGGCTATCAAACTGTTTCGCAGCTCAATATGGAAAAAAAACTAGAAGGCGATGAACAAACAGTTGAGATTTCCCATAGTAATTTACATTTAAACTTCAAATGGCTTGTGCGAAGTCTGTTTCTAACCAAATGAGTTGTAACTTTGAGAGGCTAATCAGGACCCGATTTGAAACCATTTAAGCACTGTGGGGCGAAAAAGTCAAATTTTGCATCAGTCTAGTGAACATACACACTTAGAAATAACTAATTTTACACGTGACGGAATCCGCCTTTGACATAAAGAATGAGATGTAAACAAACATGCCATGTAATATTAAGTGCTCCAAGACTGAAAAGTTTGTTGCTCGATCTTTCGCCTCTGTTATGACTCAACTTTATGTCAAAATTGACGCTCGTATATGTAACTCTCAGAGCACCTAAGTTTACATGATTATTTCTAAGTGTGTACCTAATCGATACAATAGGAAACTCCGAAGTTATTTCAGTGTGAAACTTTACTTCTATTGATATGAGTGAGGAGCCGGGGGCGGGTGCATTAAGCCTCTCGCACTCTCCAAATACGGATATGAGATAGAGCAATTGTTGTTGAATAATTCATAATTCATATCATTCATATCACATCAAATCGATAAGATAAGAAACTCCGTCATTATTTCTGTTTGGAATCTGACTATCATTGGTTCACCGGCAGTGTTGGAAGAAAAAGTGATTCTTAGCATTTAATTCCAAACATAAATATTTGAACAATTATAAAAATTTTTTAGGCGCATTCTAACACCGGCAATGGTTAGTTAATGGTTCAAGCAAATTTCCATTGCATGGTTCAAGCACATGGTTAATTGCATGGTTCAAGCATTGTTAAGGGGTGTTAAGTTTGAATTGAAGAAGTGATAGCCTACCTAACTACGAGTATAACTTAACCTAACGTGCTAGGTCACGAATGATCTGATGAGTTGATCTCAGACAGGTGTCTCTATACCTTTCCAGGATCAAAACTCTCCATTCTTCTAATGTTTGAATTCCAGCCAGGAGGTGGATCTCAGAATTTCTAGTTTGCGGGGGACTGTTTTGCATCATCCTAAGGATCTTGTTCAGGATCCTTTGTAGTTTGAGGTGATGGCATTTGGCGCAACTCTCCCAGATTGGCATACCGTACTCGATTACGGGAAGGATGATTTGTTTCAAGTTTATTTTTCAGGGACACGGTAGACCTCCTGTTGATGAGTGGATACAGTAACAGGATGTTACACATGGTTTTCGTTTTATCAACGTGCTCCCTGAAAATCAGCTTGCTGTCTAGTGTTAAGCCGAGGTGGACTACCTCCTCTTTCGACCATTCCACCACTGTGCTGTTCAAGCAGATCTTATTATTCTCCGACGGAACAAGTCTGGGAGATTTAGAGCGTGGAAAGATGATGACCTGGGTCTTTGCCGCGTTGATACGGGTCTTCCAGCTGTTGAAATATTCAGACAGGACGTCCAGGCCTCTCTGAAGTTTGGCAGTCAGAGCTCCGATGACCCTACCCTTGCAGAGTGGTTCAAACCTACCGAAAACGTGCGTTTTTTATTTTTGGGTATGTAAACGTCATTTTGGAAGGGTAGTGTCTTGAGAGAAGTTGTGAGATACTTTTTAAGCTTTGTTTTGAAGTTAGTAAAATTAGGATCTATCCACCTAGAAAGGCAATAGAAAATTCAAATTTTGAAAACATGCTCAAAAGTGGTTGGCATCTCCAGCAAAGTTGTAGATAATGCAAATACTAGCAACATTGCTCAAGATGCCATTATCGTATACTCAATGTATGATGAGTTAACTGACGTTTTTATGAAAACTCCCTCAAAAATCATTTTTTGTTAGAAAATGTTCAAAATTTTATTTTAATAAATTTGTCATTAGAGTGGTCCTATGAAATCCATCTTTTGCCAATAACTTTTTTATTTGAAATTTATCATGGAACTCATCTTGTAGAGACTTTTAAAACTCTTTAAGACAAATGTTTTATAACTGGATTTGTTGCCTGTATCTCTTCTAATAAAAAAGATATACTCAAATATAGTAAAAAATATGAATAAATTAAAATTGATTTTATACGAGTTAAAAAATAACATACCTCCAATTTTTTCATATTATTGAGAATAACATTCGCCCTTTCAAATGCTGCAAAAAAACTTTTTTTTTTTTTTTTGCCCAACCAGAGATATTAACATTTGAAAAGTTCATATTTTTAGTATAAAAACGTCAATAACTCTTGATCGGCGAAAGATATTGACAAGTTTTGTGCAGCAAAAATTTGCGCCTTCTTAAGATCTAAAAGTTATCTGAAAACACCTTTGCTGAAAAATTCGAAATAAGAAAAATAGAGCAAAAAAACTGTTTTTTTAAGAGCCACCCTAACTCAATTCAAGGAAATAGCTCTGAATCGGCCAATTAAAGAGATACAAAAAATCGAAATCGAAAATTATCCTTGTTTGTTGGGCGTTGATGTATTTAGGAGAGATCGTTCATTTGGATAGGCGTGGCTCCACAAATGTAGCACCTTTGGGCAGATTTTGTAGACCTTACCGAGTTGCACACTTTTCCGTCTACCATTGTCATGAGCATATCATATTTGACAACGATATTCTTCCCGTTCATCGCCAGCTTCAATGGTTGCAAATCCGAGATCTGTTGTTCAATGTAGTCGTTTTCTTTAACCGATACCTCGATTGTTTCAGTTAGGAACTGAATATGAACTGGACGACAGTAGCGTGTTGAAGACGGTCGAGGGTTCTGAAAAAGGCACTTCTCGCCGCTTCGAGCAATAATGGGAACAATAGATGTTATGAGCATGTTGGCATCCGATTTAGCTGCATCATCGCAGTCCAATCGTTGCTTATACTCGGCGTGACCGGAACTGCCATCAAACCCCCATTTAACGGTTAGCACGACGTCGAGCAGTTCACTTTCTGAAAATTCATCAAGCTTTGAAGAATTCGCTTCGATAATTCTTGCTGCAGTATGGTCCAACAATTCTTGAAGTTTCACTTCGACAACGTCTTCGGTAACAGTGATGGCATCGCTATCTGGGTAGCAAGCTTTTTTAGCAGACAATATTTCGTGGTAGTTCGGATACAACTTAGCATTTCTCGTGTTTGCGCCATATCTCATTTTAAGGTATTGAGATTTTGTCAAATTAGCATCCAAAATCAATGCCAACGCCTCATTATTTGCGTACGGCATGATCTTGGGCTGGCATGAGCCTTGCAGAGTTGAAAGCATCCGTTTGGCCCGAGTAGGTGTCGTACACGTGGCATTCCGGACAACAGTAGCTTCGTTACTTCTCCCGCAGGATCGTAATGTTTTGCCTTTTAACGCTATCGGTACAGTCATCAAAAGACAACGGCTTTCGACCACGCTTAACACCCTTAGATGTAGACGGAAGTTCATTCATAATTGCTTCCGGTAATCGAAACGGTTGTTTATAGTATTCAACGTTCTGCTCGAAAACATTGCTCAAGGTTCGGTTGTGCTTATCCCACAGCCTCTTAAAGTATTTGCACAGATTCTCTGCGATTTCAAATACCTTTGAATGAACCTCTGGCATGAGGTCGGCATCGATGTCGAATTTGCTCAAAATATGTTGAGCCACAGAAAGACACTTAGTTTTAGGTACTCCATTGGCTTTCCTATCAAGGAAGGGAAATGCCTGACAGGGGTTGAAACAGTTGACGTTTTTTACTACACTCGCTTCGTTGTCGTGCGCGACAGTCTGTTTGTATTCGAACACTCATGCTCTACCGTCGTCTCTCTCACGCAACACGAGCGGTAGAATAACATTCGAGCTAAAAGAAAATTATCAAAATTGCTATCATATGACATGTGTGATTTCGTTGTAATTCCTTAATTTGGTGTAAATCAAACCATTTCTGATCAGAAATATTATTACTAGCACATCATTACTTGCTATTTTAAGAATTCACACAAGCACAACATCGGCAGCTCTTATAATGAGAAAAACTAAAATACATACATTCGTGACGGTCTTCGGCGACAGTGTCATATGACAGAGCCTGTCGTATGACATTTGAGTTTGGTACTGTACTATGATAGCTTTTTTTGCAATTGTCGGAGGCAAAGGCAGTCAATTATCACAGAAAATGTGTCGACTACCGTGACCGCTTACAAGACTGAATGCCTGGCCCAGACTTGGTGTTAAACGTCGTCGTGGTAATGAAGGTGGACCAATTGGCACTTCTTCTTCTGTGCGTGGGACCAATGCAATTGATCTCAGTGACTTGTCTGTACCGTGTCTAACACCACCGATCTCCCCTCCAA